CCTCATGCCTCCTACTCCAACCTTTAACTCCACCAGGCTGCAGGTGCAAGGGCCAGCTTCTGTAAGATCACAGCAAATACCTGGATACTGCCCAGAGGGATGCAGAAGTACTTCCCCAAGCACAGGCCAACTAACTGATCAAGGCTGAGATTGCAGAACCTGCTAAAGGACAAAAAAGGCCCAAAGTAGTCAGCCCGCAGGGAGAAGATTTTGCTCAAGCAAACCAATAGTTTTGGAATGACCTAAATCAATGATCCTTAATATTTTTTTGTATGTGGGTGGAAAGAGATGGTGGGGGAGGTGAGAGTCACGATCCTTTGAGGATCATAAAAAGCAATGGATTCTCATCCTATAAAACTGCAGACACAAACAAAATTTTGCATACTATTTTGGGGTGTTCACACACCAGCCAAAGTCTCCCTAGGGATCCACGAATCCCAGGATAAAAAGCCTCAACCTAACTAAGGTCACTGTTACTATAGTACTTGTAACTTCTTCTAACCTGAGGCCTGCCCTTTTACATAAATACAATCTTAGAATTTAAAAAAGATTCCAAAAATAAAATATCTTGGTCACATAGTATACAAAAAAATCCAAAATATATTCAAAATGTAAAACTACTTGACAAAAAATATTTGATTCATAAAATTAGATCAGTGAATACCCCCTATAAACATCTATTTAATAAATGAATAGAAAAATAGAAATCTCCCTTCATTTAGAAAATTCAAATATGTATCCATCTTTCTATGTATGTTTGGATTCTTATCCTGAGGTTAATCTTAAAATTCTACTTCCTGGTTTCCCTAAAATTTTCAAATAACTGTGTTAGTATATTAAGTTCTTCTGAAATAGCAAGCAGATAAAAGCACCATGAGTTCATTGAAAAATCAGGATTTTTCCTTGATGAAATGAAGGAAGTCATTCCTCATTTATAACTATAAAGAAAAAATGTTCATCAATTTAAAAAAAAACCTTGATTCTTCAAAATAGGAGCTATTTAAGTTATGTATACATCATCACAGATTCTAAAGGTCCTTGAATAGAACAATGATGGCAAGCGACAAAGAATAAATGCAGGAAGATGTACAGAATCACTATTACAGACTATAAGAACCAATAAATACAGGTTCTACAGGCAAAAATAAACATTTTTCCTTGGATTTTATGCAAATGATTTAGTTCAGAAATGGGAACAGGGATGGATATTTTAAAATAACTCCATTTTACTACCTTCAGGACTTTTATGGAAGTAACAGAATTTCTCATGAGGGTATCAACGCCTCCACACCATGAACTAAAGAAAAGAACATTTTGGCAAGGAAAAAGTGACTGCATTTTCCCTCTGCACTTCATGGTTATTAACGTACCAGGCTATACCTAAGGTCCTAAGTGCCCTAGGAAGACTGCTCCTACACTATGGAGACAAGGGGGGGAAAAGGGTGCCCTCACTGTATTGCAATACCCCTCTTTGGAGACAAATTTTTAAAATGGAAAAGTAAAAATGAGCCGGGCATGGTGGTTTGTGCCTGTGATCCCAGCTACTAGGGAAGCTTAAATGGGAGGATAGCTTAAGCCCAAGAGTTCAAGGCTGCAGTGAGCTATGATGGGGCCACTGCACTCCAGCCAGGGTGAAAGAGCAAGATCCCATCACAAAAGAAAAAAAGTAAAAATGGACACGTGAAGAATTTAAGAAAAGTGTATTAGTTAACCCAGCACCAAGGCACTAAAACATGACAGCCCATTCGAGTTTTTAAAGAAATCTTTAGAGAGAGAAGGAGAGACAGAGTTGTTGATGGAAAAAATATGCTTTGGATCCGGATGATCTCGGTACAAATTCTAGCTCTATCATTTACTAGCTTTATGGCCTTAAGTTACTTCATTTCTCTGAGCTTGCAGTCCAGAATCATGAAATGGCTAAGAAAGTAGAGGTATTTTTTCCATCTCTGTAACCCCAGTATCTGACTTAGTGCTGGACACACACCAGGTATTGAATCAATGTTAGTTCTTTCTGCTCCCCTCACAAGTATGTCACATTTCACTGCAAACAAAAATGTTTTCTAGGGAACAGATATCTAAGCTCTGGCTATTATCTTGGGTATTTCAGAGTTTTCAATACGATAACCTGGTATAGGAAAATGCAGGCAGTCCCATGGAATTCACTGCACCTTTCACCTGAATTAAACTAAAGTTTTGCAGGAAGGATGAAAGTCTAAGAGAAACACTAAATATTTATTGAAAACAAAACTATTTCAAGCCTTGCTATAATGGGGAGAAATGGGGAAGGAGGGAGAATACAGTCTGATGTTGAAACTGAGAATAGTTTCCTCAGTTGATGTGGGATACTGTCATTGTCATATACCAAAGATATATTTGCAAGGAGAGTCTTTGAATCCTTAAACCTGTTTAAAGAGTTTCAAAACATGTATGGTCCATGCGTGACTCCATTTGGTAATTACCAATACAAAGTCTTTCCATGAAAGTTGAAAAACAGGTACCTACAGTGAGAATCAAGCCTGAGGTTGTGGAACCTCATGGTATAACACAGGAAGACATAACCACAAACTCTGCTTGGGGCAAAGCCATAATTCCAAGAAAACCAAAGCTTCTTTGAAGCTTCTATAAACCAGATAAATGTCCAAAACATAGTAGCCCAAGAGCCTGTTGTTTCTGATAGGTTTTCTGCAATATTATGGTAAAATCACAAATAAGATGTGGTTTCTAAACAGATAAGATGCTGCTTCAGATTTTCTTTGGTATCTGACATAGTTATAAGTAAATCAATAAACTCAAAAAACTAACTGCCAAAGGATTTTCCAGAAATGCAGCAATATTCGTCCTATTCCTCCCACTTTGCTTCTAATGGGTCTTTCAGCTTCTTGTATGGTTCGCCTTAAGTGAACTTCCAACTATACTAATAATAAATCATAAAAATAATTATTGTAAAGATATAGAACATGTAAAAGTTGCAGTAAAAGTGATCATATTCAAAGTCTGCATTGCTACAACAAAAGAGCTCAATGTGAAATAACTGCAGAATAAAAAACATGACTTCAAGGAGACTGTGATACCATATTGAGACACAACTCTAATTTCACAATAGATCTAGATTAACTTTGCCGGTGGCCAGACTATACCAAGAACAGTATTGCTGGCTGGTTACTTTAAGGGAGACCCCAAAGCTAACAAAGAGGGAAAGATGTGTACAGGTTAGCTTTCAATTGTCCATTAACCAAGAAAAAAGTTTAAATATAAAAGAATCATCATTCATCTATGAAATCTGCCCTGGCACAGAAAGAACTCCAAAACTAATAATCTTACCACTCCACATTTTCCCAAGGCCTTCGGTTACAGTGATGCATTGCTTATATGAAACCACCTGCTCTGGTTGGCACAAACCATGTTATTTGACAATTCATGCCTAATCATTTTACCATACATGGATCTCTAACCTTCTTTCTGTTGCCAGAGAGCCACAAAGTTCACAAAAACTCTGTCTCTGAGGTTGCCCACCTGATCTTCCAATTTGGTGGACAGTCAAATTCTACTGTGCCATGTAGTCAATGGGACAGACCCCCAATAAGTCAGACAGGTCAAAATTTGGCCTTGGGAGCACAACAGAGTGGTCTCTGTCTGGATCTTTCCAAAGGCTGCAAACATATTCCCATAAGGTATGTCAAAATGTGGGGCTCACTGGGATAATATTCTTTATACCTTTTGGGAAACAATAATCAAATCTCAGGCAATATTCCAGATAGCCTGAAAACTGTAAATATTTAAAATGTGTATTTTCTCTGTTCGTGGATCAGCTACACCAGAAATGAGCAGTTTTCAGGGGATGAGAAATAAGGCACACACAGAGTCCCAGAGAAAGATGCTCAGAGATGCCAAGGATTCACTAGAAACCTTGGCCAGATTACTAATGGTCCATAAACCTTAATTTGGAGAACACGGGCCTACAAGCTCAAAATTGAATTATACTGCCTTATTAGATCCCACACTACTGAAACCACAGTCACATTAGTCATAACTGGAACTAGGAATACTTTATGTACACAAATATAAAGTGCCTGCTTATGCATTTTTAATTGGATCAAATAAAACTGAAGCTGCAAACAAACTCGAATTTCAATTATCTCACTAGTGAGGGGATTTCCTAATAACATCTTTTTAAAACCCAAGTAGCTGCCAACCCCTCTACACATCTGACAGGCATGTCTCTGGAAATTTGGGAGCAACGGACTCCGTTACTTTTCAACAGCGAAGAAAATAAATACCCTAAAGAAAACAGATTCTTTTTTTTTTTTTTCTTTAAAGCTCAAACGTGCAATCTAATAATGCACAAAACTTGGCAGCGGGGTTGCGGGACCCCTCTAGGGCTCCAATTTTCGGGGCGAGCGAGCGCCAGTGCGTAAGAAGGGGGCGGAGGGGGTGCGCGATCCGAGGCCGCGCCGGGGCCCCCGCCCCCTCCCGGAGCAGCAGCCTGGCACCAGCCCACCCTCCTCCACCCCTGCAAACAGACGCAGGACGCGAATAGAGCAACTTCTCTGCGGGGGTGGCGGCGGGAATAGCGGTCACCCCCGCCCCGCCACCCGCCCGCAGGTCGCCGGGCCGGGGTCCTCGGCTGCCGCCCCAGGGGCGCCCCCGCTCGCCCGGCCCCCGCCCGCCCGGCCCGCGGCCGGGTCTGCCCGGACCCCGCCCTCCGCGCGGCCCGCAGCGGCGCACTCCCGGGACCGCCGCCGGCCCGAGCGCGAGCGCGCGCGGCGCAGGCCGGCCGTCTCCTCAGGCCTCAGGCCGCCGCCTGCCCTCGCCAGGCCGCCCGCCTGCCGGCCCCGCTCGGACCCCGGCCCGGCCGGGCCTCGGCGCCGCCGCAGCCCCTCAGCCCGGCTCCATTCATAGGGGCGCCCTAGCCCGGCTGGCGGGGCGGGGCCGGGGGCCTACGGACAAGGCCGGTCGGCCGAGGCCAGAGAGGAAAATAAAAAGTTAAGAGAAGAACTTACCTAAAATGGCTCCTGCAGCAGCCAAAATACAAACAGCTATTATTTGGTGAAGTTTAGCTCAGACACCCTGCAAGGACACCCTAACCCAGCTCGGGCCCGCCTTCCCTGCCGCACCATTGGGCCTCGCCGGCTCAAAACACAGAGTTATTGGTCACCCCGGCTGCCGCTCAGGCAGAAGCCCATTTCAAGCTTGCTTGCAGAGGCGAGTGATGGGCTTGCTCCATTGTGCTCGTATTTGCATGGATGTGATCGCGGCACTGATTGGCTGACGATGGGGCCGCCCCGCCCCCTGCCTCTCGCCCCCCGCCTTGGGGACGCTGCTGCGCGCGGCCCCGCCCCCCGGGACTCGGCGGCAGGGCCACGGGGGCGGGGCGGGGCCGGGGTCCCGCGGGCCGAGGGGGCGGGGCGGGATCCTGCACGCCGCAGACCGCCGGCGGGGGGCGGGGACCTGGGGCGGAGGCGGGGGGTTAGCGGGCAGGTGGCGGTCTCGCAGGTAGCAGGCTAGCAAGCTGGAAGACCCGGGGCTGGCGTCTCCCGGGGTGGGAGAGGATGTGGCTGGGGTCCCGCGACAGCAGGGCTCCACTGGGGCCGAGATCACGCAGACAGATGCGAGGAGAGGGTCCCGCAGGTCGGGAAAAGAAGATGCTGTGAGACCGAGCGAAGAGATGAGCAGCCTCGTCTGTCTGCAGCCGCGTCTCCTGCCGCTTGTCCTGACTCCCTGGCGCTCCTGGCACACGACGTGCTTCCTCCCAAGGCTCCGCACACCTGGGAGTTTTCCAGCCCCCGGGATCCTGCGGCGCCTTGGATATACCTCCTTAAAATCAGGTGTCTAGCTATGGTGCATATATTGTCGGGCCTGTCTTCCCTAGCATCCTCGTAGCATCCTCAAGGACAGGGCCCAGCATTTGGCAGAGATTCAACTAATTGTTATATTCTCCGATTCGTTCGTTAGCAGTTAAGTTTTGAGTACCCACGAAATGCCAGACAATGATCTAAGACAGGAGATACAGTGGTCAATAAGACAAAGCTCTTGCTCTCCTGGAATAGGCGAAAGAAAGACTAAATAAATACAAGGGGCAAGTAGTGATAAATGCTATGAAAAATCGATGGAGGAAAGAAGGAAATGAGACTAGAGATGGAGAGGAGCACTTAGGAAAGGAGGGATGAGAAATTTGCCCTGTCCTGCTGAGCACTCTGTGTGACATCCCATTACTGCCCCTCCTCCCTGACCTTGGCAGGCACCTGCCCTCCTCACACCCCCTGCCTGTCCCATCATGGGTGTTTCCTCAGCACCCACTAAAAAACTGATTGGATTCCAACTGTAGAGGCTCATTCTACCTCAATTAAAGCAGAAATGATCTGAATCTGATGATTCCGAGAGCAGTGGGATACATTAAGATGAACACAGTTTGACTGTGTCAGGGGTAACTATAATGATTTAGCAGAGCCTTACTGTAACCCCAGAGAGAGAATATTTTTAGCATCTTTGAAATCCCAGTTTTCTAGTGGCTTTCAGCCTGTGGCCCTCTCTTCTGAGTAACACTTCTTCCCTTCTTGGCAGACACCAGAGATTTCTCCAGCTTGGAAACACAGAGGTAGCAGCGTCTTGCCACCCATCTGTTTCACCTGTACACGTTTCTGTCATTTGACTCAAGGCTGGCCGAGATGTCTCATGGTCCTTCCTTCCTCCTCTTTCTTCCTTCCTTAAACAAATAGTTATTAAGTACCGACTGTGTTCCAGGTATTGTTCTAGACACAAGCAATGCAGCACTAAACAAGGCAGACAACATCTCTGTCCTCAAGGAGCTTGTAGTCCAATTTAGGACAAGGTGGAGATTTACACATAGATCCTGAGGCTCTCCAATCCCACAAAGCTGCTGGGAGTGAATACACTGAGAGCTGCTTGTGTCTGCTGCTGCTGCCTCACAGGACAGTGTACTTAACCTTATAAACCAGCTGCTGCAGGAGCAGAAGCAGAACCTGAGGCACGACCAGGCTGCTAGTAGGTGCAGCCTCTCCAGCCCAAACACTAGGATCAAGGATTCCAAAGCTCTCAGCAGTGCCCAAGTGGCTCCCCTTTCATTTCTAGAAAGGGGCTAGGAGCAGAGTTACATTAGAGACAGACTTGGGGGTCCTATTGTGGGATTCAGGTGCATAATACAGTAACAATAAAGTCCCTTGCCCACAAAAATTAAATAACTTAAATGAGGTAGGGGGGCAGGGGGAATGGGACTCCAGACGGCAGCAAATATGTGACAAGGCACAAAGGCAAGAGGCAGCCTGGGGAGGTATGCGAGAGGGAGGGAGAGGGAAGGTAGACTTGGCCGTAATTGCTGTTCTCAAACATCAAGAAAAGACAGTAGCACATAAGAAGTTACACATACACGGAGATGCAATGTTAAGTCACCAAACAAGAAATCTTTAGGAGTATATGACTGATCCACAAATGAGCGGGACAGGTACAAACAAAGGAAGGATGGGGGCTACATTCAGGAGAAGTGGCAGGCTTGACCTTGAGAGGGTCTACGGAACCTAGAGCAATTAGTGGAATCTTCAGCAGCACCCAGGGACCTGTGAGAAGGCACTGGAGGGGAAGCAGACGGCTAAGTGGCTTTTAGCTGTACCCATTCATGGTGATGTCTTGGCCCGGGTTCTCCAGAAGCAGAGACTGATTCTATAGGGCAGGAGTGAGGCAAAAGGAGTAAGGTAGGGAAGAAGGAAGAGCCAATGCCAGGATGATTATTAATCTGGCTACACTAAGTGTGGCTGATTGGTTCTGCTCAAGGGATTATCCTCTGAGAAACCAGATGAAATGAGTCTCAGAATAGCCAATGGGAGGGGGAAGGGAAAAAATATGTCCACCCACTTGTCTCTCATTGGGTAAGGATTCACACCAGTTGTTGCAGCATAAGTGCCAAGTGGGCTTCTGCAGCATCCCAAAACTCAGTGTCAACAGGGAACCTGGCAAGAGGCCGCAGCAGGGCCGCAAGGCAAAGCACTATCAGGATGCAGCTGTGTGCAGTCAGATGGTGCCCACGCAGAGCTGGATGCCATAGCAGCTGCTGGAACAAGAGATGGTTGCCACTATGAGACTCTGAAGGTCTGCTAAGAGGGTGACACCAGTGATGCATGAATTTTTATACCATATAGTATGTCTCCATTTGCAAAGGGCCCCAGAAAGCAATCCTTTAGGAGCTCTGAAGGGAGATACAGAAGGGCTTCCAGCAGTTCTAGAACTTTCTGTTAGTAACTTTCTGTTACTGTTAGTAACTCCACAAATGCAAGTTGCATCCTGCCTGTGTTCTCTCTTGCTTTCATGCGTCTACACACTTGTTTCTTCCATTAGACCATGAGCTTCTTTATTGTCCTTGTTTATATATCTGTAGCAGGAAAAGAGGCTCTTTTCACCTGCCCATTTCATTTTCCTCCTAGGATAGTAACAAAACCACATTTCTCAGTAATTAGGTAGGCCTATGTGACTGAGTTCTGGATAATGGAATCTGGACACAAGTGGTAGATATATCCTGTTTCTGGACATCCCCTAAAAACTCTGGTATGATCTTTCAAACTCTCCTCCTTTCCTCATGTGCTGGCTAAAGTCAAAAATATCCAATGGAGGACTTGGAGGCTCCATAAAATGGCAATGGCATGAGACTGGGTCCCTGAGTGAACGTATGGAGGAGAGCCTCTGTGTTTACCTGCACTGAATGGTGCCATGAGCAAGAAGTAAACTGTCATAATGTCAAGTCATTGAAACGTGAAGGTTATTTGTTACAGCCATTAGCACACCCTGACTAATACAGTACTTGTCTAATTTCATTTGATTCCATGTTGCCCCAGGGCAGGGATTGCATTTGTAGCTCAACACTGATGCCTGGCTTGTAGTAGGCATTGCTTATAGTAGGATGAGTGTGATACCGATACCTGAGCCTGGTCTTAAAGGAGCAGAGGTAGAATGCCAGGTAGCAGATAGAAAGTGTTCCATGAAGGAGAGCTTATGCAGAGGTTAAAAAAAAAAAAGAAAAAAAAAAAAACTAGGGAAAATATGGTCAGTTCTCAGCACTGCAAAAGGGTCATAGTGAGAGAAGGAGATGGTTAGGATGAGGCTAGAGAGAAGGCAAGGAGCAGATCACAAAAGGTCTTTATCTGTTATATGGAGGAGTTTGAAATTTATCCTACAGGAATCATTCAAGGATTTGAAACAAGGATGGGATATCATCAAGTTTATGTTTCAGAAATACCTCTCTAGCCACCTACAGAAATGGTGGATTAGAAAAGAAGAGGCCAGACCTGCCTGCCCAGGAGAGCGAGCGTCGCGCCATGGCCCTGTACCGCACCGAGGAGCGCGGCTGGCCCTGCTTGCTGGACTACCGCGTCTTCTTCAAGAATGTAGCTGGTTTACAGCTGAATTCAAAGGAAGAAAAAAAAAAAAAAAGAATGTAGCTGGTGACTACATTTCCCCCTTTCATGATATCCCTCTGAAGGTGGACTCTAAAGAGGAAAATGGCATTCCTACAAAGAAAGCACGAAATGATGAATATGAGAATTTGTTTAATATGGTTGTAGAAGCGCCTTGGTGGACAAATGCTAAAATGGAGATTGCCACTGAGGAACCATTGAATCCTATTAAACAAGATGTAAAGAATGGCAAGCTACGCTATGCGGCGAATATCTCTCCTCACAAGGGTTATATATGGAATTATATATATATATAATTCCTCAGACTTGGGAAGATCTCCATCAAAAAGATAAGAGCACAAACTGCTGTAGAGATAATGATCCTATTGATGTTTGTGAAATAGGCTCAAAGGTTCTTTCTCATGGAGAGGTTATTCATGTGAAGATACTTGGAATTTTGGGTCTCAGTGATGAAAGTGAAACAGATTGGGAATTGATTGCTATCAACGTGAATGATCCTGAAGCTTCAAAATTTCACATTGGCGATGTTAAGAAGTTCAAACCAGGCTACCTGGAAGTTACCCTTAAATGGTTCAGAGTTTATAAAGTACCGGAAGGAAAACCAGAAAACCAGTTTGCCTTTAATGGAGAATTCAAAAACAAGGCTTTTGCTCTTGAAGTTATTAAATCTACTCATGAATGTTGGAAAGCATTGCTGATGAAGAAGTGTAATGGAGGGGCTATAAATTGCACAAACGTGCAGGTGTGTGATAGCCCTTTCCATTGCACTCAAGATGAAACAAG